ATTTAGCAATAATTATAGTAATAATAATAATAATATTTATCAATAATTATAGTAATAATATTTCGCAATAATTATAATAATAATAATCGTCTATTGTTTTTTTTTTTTTACTTTTTCAAGAAATTAATCAATTAATTAAAATTTTATTAATTTTTAACAGAATCAAAAAGAAAAAGCTACACTGACCGCATATGTCTGCTTCTTTCCTTTTTTTCTCTACTTTTCATTTTTTCAAATTTAAACATTTGAAAAATGATTCAACGAAGAATATACTTTAATGTTGTATATGTGTGTGTGTGTGTGTGTGTGTGTGTGTGTGTGTGTGTGTGTGTGTGTGCTTGTGTGGAAATAGCCGATGATATTTCTCACAAGCACATTCTTGCAATATGAGCTTCTTGATAAATTGCTAAGTCTGAATTGAAAATAACCTCTTCGAATTGAAAAACGATACACACACACACACACACACATATGAACATACGCACATATACAAAAACTTAAAAGAGAATAGCTTAAAGGCAGATTCATCTCTGTAAACAATCGAAGCAATCGTTTTACAAGCGTATATCTTAAATATTTATCTTTAGCAAAATATTGAAGATAATTCTAGAAGGTCAGAGAGTTTGATAATGTTAGAAGTTTAGATAGTAATTTTGGAAATTTGACAAAAATTTATGATGTAGATTGATCATATAGTAAATAGTTAAATAGTTAAATCAACTAATAAATAGTTAATTAATTAAATCAATTAGTGAATAGTTAAATCAAATAGCTGCTTCTTCCAATTATCTTCTAATATTTGTTTAACCTTTGTATTTATTTGTTAGCAAAACTCAAAATGCAACAAATGTTGTTGTTGTTGTTGAGATATTTCAAAATATTTGATAATTTGTTCAAAAATTATTATATATAAAAGTTATATGGATTAAAATATTATTTTATCATATATTTGCTAAATGTAATTAGAAATTCAATTAATTAATTAATGGATGGTTTAATTGATTAATATATTGAATTTAATAAATCAAAATTAGTTCGAATTAAATAACTCTTTTGAGGAATTTCAATACTTAACTATTTCTTAATAAGAAATGATTATATCATTTCGATTTTATGATGTAAATATTATTTTCTAATTATTAATGTAAATATTAATTTCTAATTATTGATGTAAATATTAATTTCTAATTATTGATATAAAATATTAATTTCTAATTATTGGTGTAAATATTAATTTCTAATTACTGATGTAAATATTAATTTCTAATTATTGATATAAAATATTAATTTCTAATTATTGGTGTAAATATTAATTTCTAATTACTGATGTAAATATTAATTTCTAATTATTGATATAAAATATTAATTTCTAATTATTGGTGTAAATATTAATTTCTAATTACTGATGTAAATATTAATTTCTAATTATTGATATAAAATATTAATTTCTAATTATTGGTGTAAATATTAATTTCTAATTACTGATGTAAATATTAATTTCTAATTATTGATATAAAATATTAATTTCTAATTATTGGTGTAAATATTAATTTCTAATTACTGATGTAAATATTAATTTCTAATTATTGATATAAAATATTAATTTCTAATTATTGGTGTAAATATTAATTTCTAATTACTGATGTAAATATTAATTTCTAATTATTGATATAAAATATTAATTTCTAATTATTGATATGAATATTAATTTCTAATTTCTTTAATTACTTATTTTATTTACTTTTGGCAGCATTTGCATATTGCAGTAAATTGCACATTTTTTAAAATTTCAACCTAAATAAATATCACAAATTTCAGTGTTATTAAAATTAATGGAAAATTTCTTCTGTAGCAAAATAAGGAAGAGAAAATGATACTAACAATTAAATCGATTATACATTTAAATTTCAAATACAATTGAAATTATTGTTTTATCATCCATCAAATTAATTTTTCAAATTTGATATCAAAAATACGATAGCTGGAAAATTATATAATAAGAAATATTTCGTTGTATATTTTCTCATCCAACTTTTTTGCATGATTATTAATATTATTAAGCTAATATTATTGAGCTCATATAGCTAATATTATTAATCATATCCATTTCCGAATTTATTATATACTCATTTATTTTAATTTTTTGTTCCTTTCTATGTTTCTCTCATTTCAATTCCTATTCCGAAATAACTGATTTTAATATTTTGTTCCTTTCTATGTTTCTCTCATTTCAATTCCTATTCCGAAATAACTGATTTTAATATTTTGTTCCTTTCTATGTTTCTCTCATTTCAATTCCTATTCCGAAATAACTGATTTTAATATTTTGTTCCTTTCTATGTTTCTCTCATTTCAATTCCTATTCCGAAATAACTGATTTCAGTATTCTGTTCCTTTCTATGTTTCTCTCATTTCAATTCCTATTCCGAAATAACTGATTTCAGTATTCTGTTCCATTCTATGCTTCTCTCATTTCAATTCCTATTCCGAAATAACTGATTTCAGTATTCTGTTCCATTCTATGCTTCTCTTATTTCAATTCCTATCCAATTCCTGAATAACGTTTTAATTCGTTTTTCCTTCGTAGTATTTTCATCGCATTCTAATATGTTTTCAATTACTAAATTCAAATTCCAATAAATTGATTGTATTTCATTTTTCAAAAAAAAAAATAGAAAGATTAAATTCCGGAATTTATTTCATACTTCAGCAATTAAATAACAATTAAGCGAATTATAAAAAGACAAATGAAATGAAATGAAATGTCAGGTGGTGAAATACTTTGAGATTGTGAGCATAATGTTGTTCAATATCGGCCAGACTTCATTCTTTCACTTCTTCCGTTTCTTTTTTGCTGACTAATGGGTGGCGGAAAGAAATTGGATGAAGTTATGAAATTATAAAAATTTCGAATAATTATTGTTCTTAATATTGTTAGCTAATTATTCGTTTGTTTAATTGCTTATTATTACTACTACTACAATTGTTATTATTATTATTGTTATCATTATTATTATTTTTATTATTATTATTATTATTATTATTATTGTTATTATTAATTAACAATATCACTAATTGTTATTAATTACTGATTATTAGATGATATTTGACCGATTAATTTATAATACCATCGTATTTACACTGAATAAGAATGTTAATCATAATTAATTGACTAAAACATACAGTAAATTAAATCTTAAAAAAATTAGTTAAAATTTAAATTGCTTCTAAATTTTCAAATCATTTAATCTTCTCACTATATTTTTTTCAAAACTTTCTTTTCCTTCGATTATTTGTTGTTTTAATTTTAATTTATAGCAATTTTAAAATTTCATTTACACTTTTACAATGTTATTTTTAATGGATGAAAAATGAAGAAATGTAAAGTTGTCGAAATTTTTTTATCAATCGCTGTAAGCAAGAAATGATATCAAATTACATTAGATCGGGAGGTTTTAGCACATTGATGATGAATTGAAATGCCTTCTTAATAAGACTATATTTATTTATATGTTATTTCAGGTGTAATTATTAAAAGTTATTTGCTGTAAACGAAAATTGATATCAACTAATTAATTATTTGTTTATAATATAATTTCAGATGTATAATTGTCAATTTATCTATAATTATTTATATATAATAGACAAATTAAAAAATTTTGCTGCAAAACAAAAATTGATATTAACTAATCAGAACGATTGTTTATATATAATTTCAGGTGTGTAACTATTAATTTATCTATAATTATTAAAAAATTTTGTTGTAAAGAAAAATTAATATTAGCTAATCAATCATTTGTTTATAATATAATTTCAGATGCATAACTATTAATTTATTTATAATTATTAAAAGATTTTGTTGTAAACAAAAAATGATATTAATTAATCAATCAATTATTTGTTTGTCTATACGAAATAATTATTGAATGAAGAAAAAAGTTTTTTGTTTTTTGCATAATTAAATAATTCAATTAATTATTTTTGTTATTTTTCCTTTCAAAAAAATTCCTAAAAGTTCTGTGTAATAAAAATTTTTTTATTATTTGAAAAAATTTGTTTTAAAATAAGTAAAGTAAAACAAACGGCGTAAAGCAAATGCTAACAAAAAGCAATTTTTCAAATTTTTCTTCTCTTTTCTCTTATCGTAAACATTTACACTTTATGATAATACTAATATATTACATATTTTAACGTGAATTTTAACGTGACGTGGTTTTGATCACGTTATAACAAAATGCTCGCGTAATTTTGATTATATAACACGTCGAATATGATGTTCGCAAACATTTACACTTAATAGTAATACTGCGTATTTTAGCGTGAATTTTAACGTAACCTGATTTTGGTCACGTTACAACAAAATGCTCGCGTAATTTTGATTATATAACACGTCGAATATGATGTTCGCAAACATTTACACATAATAGTAATGCTACGTATTTTAATGTGAATTTTAACGTAACCTGATTTTGGTCACGTTACAACAAAATGCTCGCGTAATTTTGATTATATAACACGTCGAATATGATGTTCGCAAACATTTACACTTAATAGTAATACTACGTATTTTAGCGTGAATTTTAAAGTAATGATCGCGGAAAAAATAATTGATCGCGGAAAAAATTGCCCATATAAAAAAATTACAACAAATTGCTCATATAATTTTTAATACATAACACGTAGAATATGATATTCGCAAACATTTACACTTAATAGCAATACTACGTATTTTAACGTGAATGCTAACGTAACGTGATTTTTACATGTCACAACAAATTGCTCGTGTAATTTTAAATACATAACACGTCAAATATAATATTCGCAAATATTTCCACTTAATGATACTTATATATATTACGTATTTTCGATTTTATGTAAATTCCAGCTCCATAATAAATTTATGCTTTTATTTTAAATATATTTATGTGTGTAATTTAAGGAACGAAATTACTTCCAGCGGCTAATAATTGTTGTATTTGATTAAATCAAGCAGCACAATAATGAGTTATTTTATGAAACGATCAAGATCGCTTGATTTAAATTTAATTCCAAGGTTCATTTTACTTCAATAATAATTCAAATTTTTTAAAAGAAGAAAGACAATGCATTTCTTAAGTTAATTTTTATTTAATCCTCTCTTTCTTTTTTTAATAACAATATTATAATTTATTTTGAAAAATTTTTGGCATCATAATTTGCTGCTTTTTTTAATCAAAATTTATTTTTCATATTTGCATAGATACTATAAACGGATAGTATAAAAGAGATAGTATAAATGAGTATAAACAGAGCATAAATAGATAGTATAAAAGCGATAGTATAAATAATATAAATAGATAGTATAAAAGAGATAGTATAAATGAATAATATAAAAGAGAGTATAAATAGATAGTATAAAAGAGATAGTATAAATAGATAGTATAAATAGATAGTGCAGAAGAGATAGTATAAATAAATAGTATAAATAGTGCAGAAGAGATAGTATAAATAGATAGTATAAATAAAGAGTATAAATAGTGCAGAAGAGATAGTATAAGTAGATAGTATAAAAGAGATAGTATAAATTAATAGTATAAATAGTAAAAATGAGATAGTATAAATAAATAGTATAAATAGTAAAAATGAAATAGTATAAATGGATAGTATAAAAGGAAATATTAGAGTAATAATTTGCAGAAGAATGAAATATTATATTAAGTAAATAAAAATATTTCAATAATTTTTTAAGTTTTTATTTACTATTGAAAAAGTATATATTTTAATATTATACGTTTAACATCAAAAATTAAATTAATTTTCAGGGAGAGTTATCTTGGACGATGGTCACGTGAAACGACGCCAAAAGATTCTCAACAACGTTATGAGCGTAATGTTCGACGATCATATACACCAGTACGTGAAATTGGCTCATTTAAGGTATCATTTCATCACTATATCGTAAATTTAGTACTACTTGAAATTGAGATTTCAACGAATACTATAATTTCAAAATAAATTATATATATTCAAAAAAAACGAATAACAAAAATCCATTTGTTTCTTTCTAAATTTAGGCATAAATTGAATTCAAATTCAAATTATATAAAAAATCAAATTCAAATTATATATATAAAATTATATATTATTGTATATAATTATATATAATTGCTTTTTTTTTCAAGTATTATATTCTATTGTATGACTTATTTCCGCATCTGATACTTCTTACTTATCATTCTTACAAATGTCGAAATAAAGAATTATTTCAGAATTCATTTTTAAGATAGCATTCGTAAACTATAAATCCTAAAATATATGTGAGGAAGAAATTTCTAGTTTCTTGATAAATTGAATTTCATTTAATAATTTTCGCATTTTTAACTTATATAAAAGTAAAAGATAAAAACTGGAGAATATGTTATATTCTTTTAAAAATAATTCTTTAATATTTTGATGATATACAATTCCGATTACAATTACAATTTTGAAATTCGATTACAATTCAAATTTGAAAATCCATTTTGTTGTTTAGGACGGATTTTCAAAGTTTGATTAGCAATTGAAATATGCCATATCCTCAAGATCTTTTTCTTTTAAATTTCTTACAGTAATAATATATCAATTCAAAAAAACCCAATTCGAAAATCATTTCCCTTTAATTTCATTATTTTATATTTTAAAATATAAAAACATTTTTTTTGGAAATCAATAGATAGAAAATGTAATACTTAAAAGTGTAATCAAATACATATGATAACATGCATTTATTAACGTCAATGTTTCAGTAAAAATTTCTACAACATTTGCATTATTTATCTCTATGTTAAGGTAATCGAAGATGATCGATTACCACTTACGCTTTATCGATCACGTAATGCACTGGGTATTATCACTGCACCATATCATACTAATATCAACTACTATCAAGAACAATTACCCATACGAAAATATGATGTTTTCAGCGTTCGTACATGGTCATATCCTATTTATAAGCAAGTATTTTTGATATATATTTTTAAAAAATTAAAATTAAAATTAAAATTATTTTCAAAATCATTCTTTCTCCTTATTACATATCTCTAAACTATTATATATCAGATATATTTGGTTATTCTATAATTCAAATTTCTTCCTTATCACATATCTCTAAACTATTATATATCAGACATATTTTAGTTACTCTACAATTCATATTTCTTCCTTATCATATAACTCTAAACTATTATATATCAGATAGATTTGGTTATTCTATAATTCATATTTCTCCTTATCACATATCCCTAAATTATTATATATCAGATATATTTAACCACTCTATAATTCATACTACGAATAAAATATTTGCTTATTTGTTTTATTTTAAAAATTTTCAATTTTTAAATTTTAACGATTAAAAATTAAATCTTAAAGATATTTGCAAAATAGTTCAAATCGAATTGTTTTTTAGTAATAATGAAGAGGAGAAATATTTCACACATAAAACAAACTTTGCATAATCTATCAATCCTAATCGAATTTTATCTTTATTATCAGTATTACATTCATTTTGGTATTGTATAGAAATAATTAATTTAAGATAGCATAAAATAAATCTCTTCCATCTCTTAATTAATCAATTAATTAATTAATAACAACTTTTTTTTCAAAGAAAATATGTCACTAAATTTGAATAAAATTTATTGAAAAAATAAATAAATATAGAAATACATATACTTACTTCTAAATCGAAAAATATTAAAAATTCTAATACATATACTCTAATACATATAGAAATACATATAGTTAAATTCCAACCATATTATAACTATTTCCATTTCCAATAATCGGAATACTCATTTATTTATTTCGATTAAATGGCTAATTTAATTGAAATAATACATTTATTAATTATTATTATAATTATAAATAATAATTAGCAGTAATTAAGTACACTTTTTTCTTTCTTCCTTCCAACTTTTTTCCACCATTTTTTTTCTCACATTTGTTTCTTTTAAATTTCTCGACGAAATAATTTTAGCTATTAATAAACAAAATATTTCTGTTATTTATAAACATACAAATGCACAGACAAAGACTGGCACATATGTTCGTAGACAGACAGATCGATGTAGAATGTGTTGAATCATATCAAATGATCAAACAAAAAAAGAGGAGAAAATCTTCAACCACCTCAGTCAATTAGTGAAGTAAACACTGAAAGCAATCATTGTTTGTATCCTTCAAATTCTTTTTATCATCTGATAACATATTTCGTATCTCTTTGAAATTAAGGTTAAAGTTTAAAAAGATAAGATTGATTTTAGTAATTATTAACCTTTGAAATCATATTTCCATCAAATATGTCATCAAATAGAATGAGAAATAAGGAAATGATTAAACGATCATACAATCATCCATTTAATAAATTTCAACTCAACGATCTTTGTTGGGCATCTACACCATATTGGTTTGTTTATTTCATTTTAAATTATTTCAATTTTAATTAGTTATATATATACGGAAGGAAAATCATTTTTACTACTTTATTATTATTATTATTATTATTATTATTATTATTATTATTATTATTATTATTGTTATTATTATTATTATTATTATTATTAATATTAATGATATTATTATTTTATTTAAACTTTTTAATTAATTCCTTCAACTTTTCATATTTGATACGGCAGTCATCTAATTTTAATTTTTAATATTAATTCTAAGAAACGAATTAATTATAAAATATTCTTAAGCTTCATCATTTAATTCTAATATGTACAGTAATCATAACATTATTATGATATTAAAATAATTTTACTACGATAATTATATGCGGTACTATATATGGTAATCGCACCGATAATAATAATATTAATTGGCGAATTTTTTCGCATTACGGTATTTAATTCTTTAATTTCAATAATTTTTATTTCTTGCAAAATATATAAATGTTGAATTGATTTGTTGTAGGTATTTACATAGTCGTGAATTTTCATCAGCGAGACCATATTCGTTTACACGTATTTATGGTAATACATCAACATATACACCGCCAATGCTTGCTGCTGAAACACGTAGATTAACACAACGACGTAATTATACAGGTTATACGTATATTGGAGCGGAACATAGTTACGATATAACATCACGTCCTTATTCACTTGATAATTATCGCACCTGGCGATCACATAGGTAAGACATATCCTTTTTGCATTTGCACTTTCTTTTCTTGCTAAAATATAATTTTAATTTTACTAATTATGCTTTATTATGCAAATTACAATTAAATGTTATACAAAAAAAGAGATATTTCAAATTAATATTTTCAAAATTGATAAAGTTTTACGGAATTAAATTCGAATTTAAATCATTTATTCATTTAAATTCTTATATGAATATTAATTAAGTTAATATTAGTAAAAACAAAAAAGAAACTTTTAAATTATTTTCTAACCATTGGCGATTGTATTTGTATATTATAATGACTAAATCAAAAAAATTTTTAATCAAATAATTTTATTTCTAAATTTTCTTTTCTAACATTTCAATTATTGAATATTATTTCTACGAATTGTTACTGTTATATTGCTAAGATAAATTATTAATTGCTTAAATTAATTCAATATTACTTTAATTAATTATTATCAAATGAAATTAAAAGGTAAAATTTATGCATACAGTTTTCCACGAAACTATTCTTATTATGGTAATAGCGGCTTACGACATTACAATAGTTATCGACCACGAACATTTATCAGTCGTTTATCAAAATATTGGAAGCCATATTTTTAACACCTTATTATTATTCCTTGAATACCTATTCATTAGGTAGAATTATCATTATCATTATTATAATTTATTATTGTTATGAAATTAAATAAATGAGTATGCTAAGGAAATTTGCATATAATTAAGCAAAGCGTGTCGAATGAATAACATATGCATTTTATTTTCTGAAAGTTTTATTTTAGTATGATAAAATGGTCTAATAAATGGTATAATAAAATTATTACTGAAAATTGGAATTCAAATACTAATTAATAATCATAAATTTGATATATTTACATATTATTTGTAAAGATATTAATAAGTCTAATAGAATTAATCCAAAAATTTTTACTTAAATAATAAAAAAAAGAAATTATTTTTGCTAATCAAAAATATGGTAATTAATTATAATTTTCTTTTTAAATATTTTATTTTGCAAAATTTCTTTACCTGACTGATTGAACATAATTGAAAATGAAATTTAATTAAATTCAAAATTTCTTAATCTTAATTCCTAATCTTAATCATTTCTTCAACAAAAATTATTCACTGTGAAATAAAGAAAAAATTTACTAAATATTATTAATGTAATAATTGATTAATGATACTGATAGGTAATGAATGGATATAGTTGATAGTGAAAATTAAAATGATTATTTTAAAAGCTTTGTTTTTTATTTAAATTAAATAACTAACCTTTCTTAGCATATCATTAATATTTCGAATGATTATTATTGTTGCCAATTAATCGTAATTATCATTGTTATATAATAAAGATGTGATAATTGTTTTATGTTTATTTTTAATTTTTCCATTCTTTGTTTTCTCTTCGCTTTTTTGTGATATGCAAATTGAACTTTAAAAATAATAGCTATGCATTTTGTGCTTGGCATATGCTAATTGATAAAAATTTGCATTATCATGAAACTTCTTAATAGCTAGCAAACGAAATTACAAAATCATAAGTGTGTATTTATCGTGTCTATCCGGTTGGATTTTGAATATGTATTTATCATGTCTTTCCGGTTTGATTCTGAATAAAATACCTTTCATGCATTCAACAATGAAATACAGAAAATAATTCGACGTTTAAAATGCGTGAAATCGAAAAAGGATAATACTATTTGTCTTAACGACTAATAACATCGTATAATCATTCCGTTCTTTAATTATTTGTGAAGAAATTTCAACGAAATGTTACCACATCTATCCGATTCATCCGGGCTTAATAGTTTAAAAACGTCAATCCGATTCTATCCAGTTCATCTACGGTTTAATAGTTCAAAAAATGCCAAAGAAGATGTTTATCATGATTTCCAATTTCGTGTAATTTACAGCTCAAATTTTAATTACATAACATTTTCAATTAAAATTCGAAATACATTTTTAGTTTAATTTTTTTCTTTATTTTTGGCGAAATAAAATCAAGAATATAAGATTTAAGCAATTTTTGAAAGTGTAGCTTGCAAGATTAAAATCATATTTTAAATTTATCTTCGATTTATTTATGGTGATCCTAGTTTTTCATGATATTGATATTTAATGCTTACCAATTAGTGAAATATCACGTAATATGCGATATTGCACGACATTCGCGCATGCGGAATATTTTGCAATACATATATTTAAGAACCATAACATGTACATTGATAGAACAATACGTGCTATATGTCCATTCACGAACGTTATGTGTTATGTGCACATTCATGGAATATTACGTGCTATATGTACATTTACGAACATTACGTGCTACATATACTTTCACGAAACATTACGTGCTATGTGCACATTCATCGGAATATTACGTGCTATATGTACATTCACGAACATTACGTGCCACATATAATTCACGAACATTACGTGCTATGTGTACATTTACGGAATATTACGTGCTATATGTACATTCACGAACATTACATGGCACATATAATTCACGAACATTACGTGCTATGTGTACATTCACGGAATATTACGTGCTATATGTACATTCACGAACATTACATGGCACATATAATTCACGAACATTACGTGCTACGTGTACATTCACGGAATATTACGTGCTATGTATTCATTCACAGAATATTTATTTTCAAAACATTTTGAGAAATTCAAAAAAGTCAATAGTTTTTTCAGTTGCAGAGTTGTTATCTAACAGTTGTCAAATTGGCAAAAAGTTGTCAAATTGAAATTTTTCATTTTTGAATTCTGAACATAATTTTACAAACAACTAAATCGTCGATTATCCCAAATAATAATANATAGTTTTTTCAGTTGCAGAGTTGTTATCTAACAGTTGTCAAATTGGCAAAAAGTTGTCAAATTGAAATTTTTCATTTTTGAATTCTGAACATAATTTTACAAACAACTAAATCGTCGATTATCCCATTCTCTGTTTGGATATCAGAAAATGATGAGCAGAAGAAAGGGAATAATATTTCAGGTAATATTATCTGAAATATTAGGTGACACAAATTTATAAAAAAACAATGATTCAGACGTGGTCAGTTAGGTCATATGACATACGTACTGAAAGGAATGAACACGGCAAATGTTCCTAGCGAAAATAACACTTTAATAAATATTACAGAATATTCCAAGTTTAATGGTACCATTTTAATTCCGTCAAATAGTTTGCAAAGTATTTCACATGCAAATAAATCCATCACATCAGTTGAAGACTTATAAGAAAGAAAAATTTGAATCAATCATAAAATTCAAAATTTTAAAAATAAAATTCTCTTTCAAGAATCTGTTTTAGAGTAAAAGAAATCTCACAGTGATGAGAAGTCAGTCATATATAAGCAAATGTATAAAATGATCCGAAATCCAAAATTCATATAATCTTTTCCTCTCATAATTTAAATATCATACTGAGAAGTTAATTATTATAAATTAGTATAATATATAATACAAATTAAAATTAGGTAACCTTATAAGATGTTACACTGTCGGAAAGATTTACTCATAATTTTAATATAATACTGAGAAGTTAATTATTAAAAACTAGTATAATATATTATAATAGAAATTAAAATTAGGTAACCTAATAAGATATTACACTAACGGCAAGATTTACTCATAATTTTAATATCGTACTGAGAAGTTAATTATTAAAAACTAGTATAATATAATAGAAATTACAATACTAACATAATACTAGAAATATAATAATATAATAATAGAAATTAAAATTAGGTAACCTAATAAGATATTACACTATCGGCAAGATTTATTATAATAATTCCAATCTTATCGTTCTTTTTAAAATGAATCATAAAATATATTATTCATTGTTTTGATTTCAGGATAAAATGAGGAAGGAAAAAAAACGAAATACAATTATAACATTTTAAAAATAGCTTCCGACAAACAACAATGAAGAAAATGCGATAGTTTTAAAATTTGTTTTGTCGTAAATTTTGTTGTAAAGTAAATATAAACTAAGAATTTTAAAACAAATAAAATTATGGAGCGGATCTTGGTAACAACCGCATATCGATTAATTTTGTGGTTTTTCTCATCTTCTATTTCAAATCAAGAAAGCCTTCTTCTTCTTGTGACAGGTCAGATTTTAAAAAATTTAAAATTTGAAGT